TGTCGGATATCCTCTTGCCTTGAGATGTAGGTTAAGGTGAATTCCTATATTCAAAACATTTATTTCGCCTTCGACCCCTTTCGCAACTATAGCTTTTGCCTGCGCACGAAAGAGTTGGCGATTGAAACGCTACAGCACGAAATTGAATATCTTTGTTTGTAGTGATCGGCATGTGATGTCCGGTACTCGATCAAATATAGTTTTCAGGAAATTGTTTTCATTCGAACGCACGAAATTTGAAACCGCACATCGGCCCATGAAGACGGCCAATTATATAATGGTAGAGCCATATATTGCCCCGAAGCCAACCACCACTCTCAACGAGAATGCTGTCTTCATAGAGAACTACCTTCTCCGTTGAACTAAAGTGCAATAATTATTCATTGATATCCTATACTTCCCTTTTATTCCGGAATATCTAGAAAACTGCAGGACTGAGAAGAAAATTCGTTAATCTTGAGTATTTACGGCTACAAACATTGCAACACTAGACCATTTTATAAAACTGATTGTAGCAAAGTTTCTTTTCAAATAATGACGGACGTCCATATTTTCTATTTTAAGGCGTGTATTTCTTATAAGTACTATAGCTGTTTTTTATATTCATGGATACTGTATATTTTTCCATTGAAGTATTTGAGCTCATTCAGTTGAAAAAAATCTAAACAATTTTGAGCAACCATGTGAAAAGCTTCACTCATCGTTTTTGAAAGCCGCCTTTATTTCGTAATCAATTTTTCTCCTAATTTCTCCGTGATTTGCATACAGAGGTATAAATCTAGTAGATGTGATGAGTTCATTTTTCTTGTAGTTTCTCGGAAACTCAACTTTCCTGAAGACTCGTCACTTTTTTCAAAGACATTTTATGACATTTTCGCATTGATATTTCTGATGTCACCAATTTCAGCGATCATTTGGTATTCAATAAGCATTTTGACAATAATTCTGCTTCCTAAGTGAGAAGCGTTCAAAAAGAGAATTTTCGCGAAAGGTACAGCTCCATCCAAAAAAGGGAGCGGCATATCAGTTTTCCGGCTTTTTCCTAAACACATCTCGCACTTTCCGAGCATCTCCGATTTCAATTATAATTTATTTTGGTGCTATGCGAACAGAGAGCGGAATGTGTTTTGAAAAAAATTCGGTGAATGCTCTGAAGACTAATCAGCATGAATTTTATAGCAATCTGATGGTTGGTTCTCTCATACAAACGTAAATACTAGAAACCTTTGTCGCTTTAGATTTGTGTAGTCACTGATGATCTGCTAGTTGTCCCAATAAATCACAGCTTCCATAGCAGTTATTTGAAAATTCGAACTTTCAGTACGTTGAACCTTGATGAAATTTGCAAGAGAAAGTTACTGTATTAATCCACTTTATCTTCCCATTTCAAGTTTTTTGGGTGAAGCTGATAGATTCCCTTGAAAGTCTATTTCTATAGCAACATAATTAACTAAGATGGATGTCAGACAAATCGCTACGCAAAAGCTATCTTCCCTTTTTTGAGAATGGCCGTCACGCCTCAAAGACCTTCACCTTTCTCTGCGGTCCGGGAAATGACGCCGTCCAGTCACAGGCGGAGGCGGGTACCGTTGGTAGTAAAATCGTCAACTGTAGATGGACATGTTGAAATTCTCATGCTTTAATGCCATGTATTGTCTTTTCTAAGAACTAAAAAAATGAGACGACGAAGAAAAAATATACCGTGACGGTCCAAAGATGAAAAGCATGATCTATGCAAGAAATGGAATCAATTCTATGTAATTGTTATAATTTTCTTTGAGATTATACCGTTCGTTTCGAGTACTCTTTTAAGACTACCCTCAAAATATAATAAATCTGTTGATTTATATACCATAGGGGAATGAAGGGGCCCCAAGATGGTTGGCTTAGACGAAGCGTACTGCCCAACCGATGAGGCTGTCAATGCCGAAACACGTGATCGAGCCCCGTGATTCCTTAAAGAAATAAGACGACGAAGTGTCAAACCGCAAGCGAGATCTATGCACCTTGGTCATTCCCACCGACTGCACCTGCAAGACAAGGCATAGAAAGAGTGCTGAAGTCCATGTTACATGTGAAAAGTGAAGATCTAAGCGTCCACAAAGTAACTAGTTGATTCAGTTTGAAGCGAACGTTTTCTCCAATATTTCATTATTTTATCTAGAGCGTTCATTGATGACGGCTTTAGACGTTTGTTTCATTACTCATAAAATCATAGCAGTATTTATTTACTCTGATGGAGTACTAACACGACTTGATAAGAAGAAACTTTATTGAGCTAACTTTTCGAAATCTTCGTCTTCTTCAGAGCCGCAATATTTCATGTCAACTGTTCACACTTATCATTTTCTCGTATGTGAGTTTTCGTAACCCCATCACGTCGAGTCAACCGCAGTGAAATATTGGTAGAATGAGGTAACCTAACTCAGTGGGCATTTGAAAGAGTATTATTTTTGATGGGTTCGAATATTATAGAATTTTTTATGAACACCGGTAAAAAAAACGTTTCCATGAAATGCTGAGATGTTATCATTTTTGAAGCAGTATCATATAACTCGAGAGCGCATTTGGTGCACTGGTTAGAGGTGTTCCGCGTCGCACATAAGGCCTATGGTTCGATCGCGCCCTCATGTCCTACTAAGCCTTCCATCTATTCGGAGTCGGTGGATTCATACCAAACTGTCTGGGAGGATGAGCAGCATTGGCTTGATACATCGGTACCACCATAAGTCACTGTAAAGGCCATATACGCATCCAGTCGCCCCAACAGAAGCTGAACTTTGAAGATAAACGTATGGCGCATCTCTCAGGAATTAATCAACTACGAAAGTTCTATCCTTCTTTATATAAGGTGCCAAAGTGTAGGACTAGTTAGAGTTGCAAATTAGTATTTCTAGATAGACTCCAGTATGGTTCTCAGGTTGACATATCCTAATCGCACCTTTTCTTCGTCGCAGTCGCTTCTTTAAGAATTTTTTCCTCATCATTTACGATAATTTGTTTCATAATAATACAGAATGTTTCATGACTTTTGCTTGCGACAATCTCAAGTCATCTTCACGATATCCCACTTTTCCACATTAAGCTCTCCCAGCCTGTATCTGATGTTAGGTTTGACGAGAGAGCTTCTTAACTGTGTGTGCGTAGGCGTGTGAAATACTGCAAACGCGATTTTTTCATAACTGTGATGAGGTGTGTGAGAACCTCCGTCGCTGCACATTAAGGCGCATGGTAAGAAATTCAATTAACCCCCTCACTATAATAGGTTTTGACATATTGAATGTGAGGGCAAGGATCCGGCATGAAACAAAATTCTAAACATATCTAAGCCTCGAATACGCGAAGTCTGATCATCGATGCTTTTTGGACCAATCCCAATCAGTCGCTGAGTTTTCTCTCTTCTTTTCAATAGACACTTTAAATAATCATTTATTTCAATATTTCAACATCCATGACGATATCAACCAAAACATGCTCAGACCATTTCTATTGCTTCTTGTAAGAATTTGATTTGAAAGAACATTTTATAAAATTTTTATGCGCTTTTGAGGCGGTAGGACAACGTCTATCGTATGAGTTCTTAACGATTGGAATTCTTCTGCTTACACTATCATTAGATGATTTTCGAAAGAGCAGATGCGTTTCCTAAGAGTTGATGGCTTTTACGAGCATGATAAGGGTGGTAATTTAGAAGCTGAAAACACTGTTTTCTTACTTTGTATGGTTGGCTGTTCTCTAGCCATCATATTTTCTCTCAATAAAGTAATTGTTCAAGAAGCTTTTATCAAATTTTCTCTTGCCATTCGACATTCTACCATTCGTCAACATTCTTGCGGCGACTTGACCCACAGCAAACTGGCTCTTCATTGCAGCCTGCCTTTTTACCGCGACTTCTCTGTGTACTAAAATCATATTTATTCGTAATCAGTAGCCACTAAAAACGCAGTGAAATAAATCTTTGAGATCAGTGTTCTGATCTTCCGCTCAGTTTTTGTTTTGTTTGAGGGTGGAAGTCTTAGGCCAAAAAGTAGACTCTAAAGAACGAAAATCCATGCCAATCAATTAGCTCATACATCGATAGCATCTTATACGGGACGAAACATTGAAGATGCACTCAAACTTTGTGAGGATCTATCTTCGTCAATAAGTCAATCCGCAAAAACAGTATAGTTGCCTTTCACAACAGCCAAAAAAGACAAGTTTTTGTACATATTGTCTTTGAAATGTTCAGATATTGTCATAAAAGCTGCCTATATCCACACTTTGCTCGCAATCAGCAAAAGTTGCAGAGAAGAGACTCTTGCTCGTCATTCGAAACATTTCATTTTAGATTGTTGTAAGGCGTTTGTTGGTGCTATTGACCTCTTATACGTTTCATTAGTTATGAGTTTATCGCTTGCATCGTCACTACCGGCTACGGCGATTTCAATTCCAACACGCCTGTCTCCGAATTCAATTCACTTCGCGAAGGCAATTTCAACACACACGCTGTGCTGTGAACTCTTTACTAAGACCTTTACCTTCCAAACGCCATCGCCTGCCTTCTCTGTCGAGCACACCTTCGTATCTGTCCCTCATTTTTTGCTCCTAACATCACTAAAAATGTCCTGTTGTCTAAGGATTCTCATCGCTCTTCTTCATCCATACTTTCCGGAGTCCAGTAAATTGAATACTCTCATTCAAAAGATAGCTATTGTTACAAAAAATGCAAAGATTTCTTCTTCACCTCCACTTTCTTCTAGGCATCATATGAAGCTTATACAGCGGTGATAATACCAATATCATACACCAAATGACGTTGAGTGGTGAGCAGAACCTTGACGTAATGCGAGCTTTGAACCCCTTCAGGGGCGTGTGCTCAACCAATTGCACTACTGACGCCTGTTTTTCTGCCACTCTTTCTACTCTACAACGCATCAGTCTATCAGCAAACAACTGTCAACGGTTTGAGCTTCAAAGCCATATCAGCGTTGTAAAGTAGAAAAAATGGTGTCAAAACAGGTGTCGGTAGTGCAATTGGTTAAGCACGCGTTCCTAGAAAGGGTGAAATGTGGGTTCGAGTCCCGCCAGACGTCAGAGTTTTACACACCACTAAACAGTATTGGTGTATACTTGTAACATCATAACATGGCTAAAATGAGGTCGAATAAGATTAATACTTGTCTTTCTCTTATATAATACTTTTTTATGAACTGAAGAGCTTGACTTGGGCTAAATTTCAAGCTATGTTGCATAACTTCAAAAGAGGCTATAGAAGTTATTTGATATACTTTCATGTTAGTCTGACTATTCTCTGCGAAAAATATTCCAAGTTATTTTTCTTCCAAACAAGGGAATTTTCTTTGCACATTTTCCTCAATTTTCGGTCATATATTTTCAGTTCTTTTTTTGTTCATAATTACAAAGTAGTTATGTTCCTTGCCACAAACATCTTTTTCTCTCGATAATAGAATGAACAACTGTGACAGATCCACATTTTGCTCTCGTTTATCTATGCTACAAACTGCACATTTTCGAAGAAAATATTTATTTACCAATACGGTGAATATCTAGAGCACTTAATATTTTATTTTGAATACATTTCGATCTAGAAGCATTTATTCGCGCTGTCACTTTGGATGAATTGCACTGTTTCTCACATTATATCCAAGCTGAGTGGACACCATATTCCTAATGCTTCCTTGATGTCTGTCGAAATTAGAAGCTTAACATGAATTGACAACTACTGAGAAATAAGCTGAACAGCAAGACGTGGTGATCATACACAGTTTACAAGAATGCTGAAGAGGCAACACCGGCGACATCCTGTTCAGCTCGTCGTGCTCGACCACAGTATTCTTTAATATTCGTACGTCTTCGATAGGCTGAACCCCAACATTTCATGCCAACAGTCAAAACGCCGTTATGCTCCAGTGTGACTAATTTTCGCGAAGATTGATAGGTCTTGGCGGAATTTTGTAGTATTCTCTTCCGGATCACTTACGTGAGATGCAAAGACGATGCTCCGCCATATACTTATACAAATGATTCCCCATATTCTTCATGAAATCTTGAAGGTGGCACATTATCACGTTATTTTCTTAATGTGAAAATTCAGTTTCAAAGTTTGGTGCGCGTAGTGGAAGGTGAAGATACTCAAAAATTTCATCTCTCACTCGATTTAGCTTATTATGTCGTCCTTGATCAGTCGGTTGATTATTCATAAAATCGCAATTAGAGGAAGAGGTGTTGTCTCAAGCAAACTTTCTGTTACAACTCAACTACCATTCCTCCAATCAACACCCACCATCTTCGGTGAAGGTCTGATCTTAGGAATGCTGCCACAATTTCTATAGAAGGTAAAGTTATTCTATTATTATTCGAAAAGCAATAACTTATCGAGGAGAGTAGGCGATTGATTGTCAAGCCGAGTACGAACTCGTGTTTAATTACCACAAGACTTTCTTTTACTACAAAAATTTACTTCCTACATAAATGATGAGTTTTCGCGGTGTTTTGCACAAATTTAAAATCGTATGTTATTTGACTGGCGATATGATGATACTTGGACTAGATATTTGCTCTCGAATGCTGATATATCTGTGATAGGGAATTTCCAAAATGTCACGATGGGTAGTCTCTTGCTTTTGACAATAAGAGGCAGATCTGTCGATAGATCTTCTCCAAAATAGTAGCGATGATGTCGATGATTTCGCATTGGCCGGTGGTATTGAACTCTACGTCATAAGGAACCTTCGAACGATGGCTTTTTACTCTACTCTCAGTGATATACCCAGAAACATCAGTGCATCATCACAGAGAGTCAACCAACTATCGGAAACATGGGAATCCTCTCAACTTTGACACCGTATCAATAGTAATATCGTTTTCTACACGACACATTTTCATCTGTCTAGCGTATCTTTGAAATTCTTAAATAGTCCGCTTTCTTGCGTGTGTGGCCCCAATCCAAGATGTGCTGTGCAACACACTCAGCAAGCATCACATCCCTCTGAGATCGGTGAATGCTAGAGTTGTGTAGAAGGATAGCAACAGTGACTTGTGTAAAGACCAGATATGCGTTAAATCACCTCTAATAATGCCAGGTGAGGATGAACACTCATCGCTGAAGTATTGAGCAAGCCGAGAACTTTAACCTGTAACATTATCTTGCTTACGCGATCCATCTGTGTTCTCAGGTTCTGCATGAGGGTTTGACATCCTCATGAGGATTTTGTCTTTCTTCTGAATTCCGTTGAATGTTGATTAAATCGAGTCTGCCTCTTACCCGGTGCCAACATTGGACTCACGAGCAGTATCATACCGCGATGGCATCAGGGTCGGCGTCGAAACAGGGTTGGATGTGCTTTGATAAATTTCCAACCACTCCACTTCCCTCACGCACCATCATAAATATGCCTACATATCGTAGTTGTCAAATTATAGAATAGTTCCTTCTGGCCTGTATCATTCTTAACCGTCCTCTTTTTCCCATTTTATATTATACAATCACTGTGAATTCTTCTGTATAAATACAATTCCCGATAAAAAACTAAATTTCTTATAGCCGAATAAAGTGTAATATGTAAGGTTATGACTTGTTTTAGACTGATTTTCCAACATAGATTTCGGAGCACAGTCACTGTATTTGAGGAAATTTCTCATTTTATTTTATGTCCAATTTGTAGTTCAGGATCTATTTGGGAAGGAAGAAACTTAAAAAGCCAAGTGTTATTTATCGTTATCAGCCACTCATAGCAATCAAAACTTTCCTCATTGATATTCTCTCATAATTTAATTATGAAGCATCGCAATACATTTTTTTCTTCTTCTCTCCTATTCTTACTAGCGGTTGGAATGTCTTTTGATATGGTTTACTATATCCAACAAAAAAACTTTCTCACTAATTGAAATTAGATGTTCACATAAATGGAATAACTATATTTCATGAACTTGTAGTAAAGTATGCCTCCACGTTGAAAATATATGCTCTTCTTTTGTTCAAAGATTCAGAAAAGCTTGATTAACAGAGATTTTACGCTCATTTGTCAAACGGAAAGTCATTGTGACTCTAAAATTATATTGAAAATTCCTTCCCTAAAAACGTTTCCCATTAAAATCTTTTTGAAGTCATATTTTGATAACTAGCGTTGAAATTTGCAAGCACTTTCATCTTCGCGCTAAATCTTTCTCCCGAACCATTTCGACTTCAATCGAGATAGGTTTTGGAATACTTTCTCTGCATCCTCATCCACTGCTGTTTTTCCAGTCATTTTCACTTCAGTGCTCAAACGCCTCTTCTTAGATGTCATAGAGACCTTAGCACTTTTTCTTTTATTTTGCTGTTCAATAAATACCATTTGCAAAGGTGACCTGCTTCTTGAGCATCTCTGACTTAAGAATTTTGTCTGCTTCACAGATCTCGTTGAATGTTGGCTGAATGTGGATTTACTTGGAAAGCCAAAATGGTCGATAATTTTTATCGCCATTAACCACTCATAATATCTACATCGAAAGCGAATCGTGCCGTTGCAGTCATGCCATTCATTCGAGCGAGACCCTGACTGAACCCCATCCTGAGCCACCTAGACCTCCCATTCTTTCGAAGTCAGAAATTGGAACCCGACTTACCTCGGTTCATTTCAATACTCCAGTCCAAGTTGAAGCGAACTTGCTTAACTGTCCTTGGATTCCAGGAGGAATCGACTCGACTAACATGCAACGATATTCAGGAAGAAAACCAAAATCCTTTTGGAGCGGCCAAATCCACACGCGAAGACCCTTGTAGAATATGGATGAAAGAAAACGACGAGAACACAAGAAGTGCTGGGATCTGCACAGCAGATGTAGAGGCGAATCATTTGAGAAAAAAATCTATATCATAATCCTTGATCGACATAAAATAACATGTTATATTCACTTTGTAGATCTGTCATTTTTCAGCGAAAAATTCTATTATTCAGAACTTTTATTATCTTACTGTGAAAAATTCCCTCAAGCAGCTTGTCCAGTCCTAATTCAGTTCGCTCTGAAATTCAATTAAGTCAATCATTGTTAGGATATTCTAATTGTTTTCTTTGTTATCAGATTATTATCATCGTTAAATAATTTATTTAGTCTTCATTTAAATATCGTGAGATTTTCTGATTAGTAGGGCAGTGAGTAAGCAACTAGTGTCTAGTGAAATCGCATTTGAGATACAGCCAGCAATATTAGAGGCTTATAAATTGAAGTCTTCAATCATCACCTTCAAAAATTTCCGTTGTAACATTTTGTTTGCTTATAGACTTCTAATTGTAAATCTCAATATCGACTTTCTATTAATCGACGTGATCGATAGTTCTCTATCTTCCATGATCAACAGGCAGAAAATGTTTATATACTATTTATTTTCAACCACCAACGTTTCAGCAGATTCGCTTTCTTCAGAACTGGAATGCTCAAGTTGATCGCAGTCCAGCCAGTCAATTACCTTCATAACCTTAACGGATTATTTTTATTCAGATCTATTTTTCCTTTTCAGCGCTTTTATGCTTTCTTTTGAATCTCTGTTTCCGATGAAATAACTTTTTTGATGATTCAATAAGAATATCTGCTGTAACGTAAAGGAAACGTGAAATGTTAATCCTGAAGATATCCATCTAAACCAAGAGAGACTACTGTATAAGTTAAGTTTAAGTTCTGCTATATTTTCTTTTATTGAATTCACAGTTCGGCTTTCATCTATCAAACCTTCCTTTCATAGCACCTTCAATCTTCCTCGTCAACACTTTTGTTCCCTTAATTCCACTATTGAAAGTTGATGGAATGTTGCGTGAGAAGCTGAGTACATAAGAGCACGGTACACCAGACATTTTCCGTTTATTTTTATCAAGACGAACTAGTCTCACTAACGGACCTCATGGTTTAAAAGAATTTATTTTGACTTGCCCACAAGATATGTCCATCTCCAAAGTTTTTTAATGATGAATAAGAATGCCTAGGCAGTTTGCGAGTCTTTCGTTTCCGGCGTACACTGGCACTTTTTCACTTAATCATTCAATTTCGTATCAATGCAATCATTATTCTGGTTTCCTTTCATAGTTTACTGTCTTACT